TTTTGAATTATTTATTCCTCATTATCTCTTGTGTTATTTATTCCTCATTATGACAATACCACCAATATCACCAAGAAAACCGGCCAGTCCTAAAATACTTTGGTAATTCTGGCCCCTCATAGGTACCAAAAGTAATTGTATGAACACAACTTCTAAAATGCTACTTTCCTAATCAATTTTTGAATTCATTTATAATTACTTATGAATTGGTAGGTACTAATAAAACACATTCATAAATCTTTTTATTTCACAGTGATATGGTATTAAGTATTGCTCAATGATTCTCTCCATTTTAGATACAAAGGCGATACAATTCCGTATTTAACAAAAGTCATGCTTTCTTGCCCTTCCACTAACAAAGCATCCTTATCATACAACTTAAGATTTTAATTTAAATAATGTAAGCATCAATATCGCAAAGGAGTCTCTCACAAATCACAACACAATTTCCACCAAAATCACAAAATCGTCCACTTCATAATCGTTCTCAGTGATAATACCAGATCCAGTAAATTCACTAAAATTAGCTCAGCACAACTTAAATTAAAAAAAAACTAGGCCATGAATAAAATAAAAGCAAAACAACAATCTGCCATCTTTAGTTTTTAGTGAGGGTGTTGCCTTATCAAAATCACAAATCCTTTAATTGGCAAAATATTGTTAAAAATCGAGTACACAGGCTTGTTTCATAATAAAGTATTTAGAAAATTAAGAATGCTTATTATTTCTTCGTTTAGTTTAAAATATACACAAATTATTTGTTATTAGCTACGTACGTTTATAGTTCACAATTGGTAAAATCATTATGTTTCAATTTTCTTTTATTTTATTTATTTTATTCGCAACTAAACGTTATGTTTATTTTTTCCATTCAACCGTTTTACTATACTTGTGTTAGGTTTAAGAAATAATTATAAATCCAAAAAAAAATATTTTAATTTATAAATGGTAACTTGCTTCTTAACACAGAAATGTGACTTTTTAAATAATAATATAGTATTTATGATATATAAATATATATATATATATATATATATATATATATCGAAATATTAAACACTACATATAATATATTAATATTATTTAACTCGGGAATTGATTTTATAATATGGTAACATTAATTGCACGGCAAACAAGCCTGACGAATCCACCGCCGATGTTCTTAGTCAATTGACTTTTCAAAAATAAATGAATTTTTCCCTGACAAGTTTACAGGCATTTAGTATAATTTTGAAAAATCTTAAGAAATTATAATATTTATATCTGTAACAATGCTAATGGTAGACGCTTGAGATTTCTCTCAACAATTTTTTCGCCATTATCCTTTCAATTTTATTTTAAGTCGTTTGCTGTCACTAAATATTTATTTTAATTAAACTATACTTACGCTACAAAGTTTGAAGAGAAATGTACACATTTTAAAGGAAATGCTAATAGGAATAATATTAAATCATTAGCGAATACGAGTAAGAGCAATAATATTCACTGGGCTGATTTATTTTTGCACTGCAACTTGTTCTACGATGCGAAATAACTAGCTACACTCAGTAAGTAGTGAAGCAATCTTACATATCACTGCGAATGTTATATTAAAGGAATGTATCTTCAACTCGACATATCATTTAGATATTTTTAAATTCTTATTAAACGTCTGTAAAGTTTTTTTAACATGCTTTGACAGACGCTGCAGATGGATGTGAAGAACAATTTATACTCTAAAGTTCGCTTCACAGCTTAATGTAACTGGAATCTTAACTTTATAGTCCGATGTCCAACCTGAAATTGTAGTGTTGGTACCACGTGCGGTGGTAATAATTAAACCGACTGTTCATTCCTACCTTCTCTTTAAAAATATTTGCACACTAGAACGGTGTATGGAAGCTGCGAATGAAATTCTAGCGGAATACAGTGTGATTGATTTTGTATACCCGATTTTCATTCGGAACGTTTTCTTTGGACAAATTTGTTTTGATATGAACTTATGAATAAAATTCCACAGTATCTTTTATACACGCTCCCTGATATTATTGCCTAATTTGTGGCAAATTATTGTAGTAACATACCCGGCTTAAACAGTCGGTATTGAAAGATGTTAAACATAAATTAAATTAGAGTAATCGATATATATATATATACATATATATATAATCGGAATCTCGGAAACGGCTCCAGCGATTTTCATGAAATTTAGTATGTGCGTAGATTCGGGGGCGGAAAATCGATCTAGCTAGGTTTCGTTTTTAGAAAATGACCTTTTATCCCTGTTTTCAGGGAATGAAAAATAACATTCAAATATGACAGTAAATTTGGAATAAAAAGAATCTTATATAGTCTGAGAGGTTCTCAGAAAAGATTTACTTCTATATAATAGCCCGAGGAAAGTATTATTCTCGCAGAAGCAGAGACCTGTGAATCTTTAAGTCGATAAGGCTACACGTGAAAGCAAAATATTGTAGAGATGCAAAAGCTTAAACATCCTACGCATCTTAAATTGACACGAGTTAGATGTATTGATTTCTTGATTTTACGCGAATATTATACATAATAAATGAAACTATTTTACGGAGTTTACGGTTTTTATTTTGATTTGAATCTCCCGACGTTTCGAACCCTTTCCAGCGTTCATGGTCACAGGACAGACTAAGTTCTTACACGTCTTGATGTCATTAGCCGGGAATAACTATGACATCAAGACATGTTTTCTGACATCAGAAAATTCAAATCAAAATAAGAACGCGATAAAATCCGTAAACTAGTTTCATTAAATACGAGTTAGATGTGTTTGGAATTGATATTTGTTTACAAGATGTTTCAACAAACTAAATTTAATTTACTTGAGACTACTTTGGAACTAACAACTTATGGTACATGTGTCAAACTCACGGACCGTTTTACTTCAGAATTTTAAACTATTATTTTCAAAGCAAGTTAAGATTTTTTATTAAATCTGAATCTAATTCTTAATAATTTTCTTCAACGCAAAAAAATGAAATCAAGAGAGAGAGAGAGAGGGAGAGAGTCACTAAAATACAATTGAAGGGGGCTTTTAGGGGGCTTCCAGCATAGCGTATTGTGAACCTTCGATCCAATTAAATTTCTGTAGATAAATGAACACTAGAAGTCAAGCCGCTATGAAAGAAAACGATCTGGATTCCTGGATAATGTATTTATACGGTGGTCTAGTGACTAAGATGTCTCAAATAGTAGATCCAGTTTAAATCTAACGGCGTTCACCAAAAAGCATCCGTTATTCGGAATTATTAGAGTACTTGGAAGTGGATAACTATGCATGTTATGTAACTTCATTTCTGGATTTCAACACGTTTCATTTTCAAATTACCAACATTCTGAAAATGATAAAGCAAATTATCATCAAAGGTAAGGGTTATGGTTATGGTATCGACGGGAAGGTAGTGGGATATGATATTAGAAAATAAAAAAAATCAGTTCGTACTTCAATAATACAGTATTGTCGTTTAGTTTAATGCGGTGATCAATTTAAAAACAAATCAAAGTAATAAAAGAAAATCCTCAAAATATCTTTATTTAACCATGTGTAGCATTCGTTTGAGTACAAAAGATCATTTAAATCGGTCATACTAAAAATTTCCGAAACTGCCCACTTACATAAATAAACATTTTACAAAAAGTAATTACAAAATTTGAAAATGGAACGCTGGCTGTAAAATTCAGTTTGTTTCAAATTCAGTTTTTACATTGTGGCGCCATTTTAAACATTAACATGCATTTAAATCGGGGAAATTTTCGTAGTATTATTTTCTACGACTTTAAGTGTAAGTAATTTGACAGTTCAGCAGAGCCTCGCTCGGCATCATCTGCTTTTGGCGAAGTAACATGCTACTCGACTGTTTGTAGCTGGTTTGTGGAATTCAAGCATGGTCATGTCAATCTCAGTGACGAACCTCGCGATGGTCGCCCGTCCACCGCTATTAACAAAAAAAACATCGATGCTGTGCCGTATGGTCGAAACAGACAGGCACGTGACCTATCATGAAATTTGGGCATCCTCAGATATAGGCATAAGTTAAATACAATCAATCCTTAATAAACTTTTGGGTGTGAGAAGGCTATGCTCGCGGTGGATCCCGAACAATTTGACGAACCGCGTTACTTGGTACAATTTCAAGCTTCCCAGATTCAACGATAGGGCGTCATATATGTGGTACATAGTAACATGTGAGGAAACATGGATTTATTGCTACTATCCCAAAGCAAGTTTCGAGATGAGCCAATACTGATGAAAGCGGTGCGCGTGAAAAGTGCATCTAAACGGATGATTGTATCTTTTTTTTTATAAAACTGGACACGTTGCTACTGTTGCTTTGGACAATCATCTTACAGTCAATAGTTACTGGTACACCACCATTTGTATACCGAAAATTATGGATTAACTGCTACTGTCTCAGGTGGCAACGCATTGCAAATGCCCGGCAATGGTTATCACTTAACATCAGGTGAACTGCCAGCTTGTTTGCCACTTTCTCACATAAAAAATAGTATCATCTTGGACCACGACAATGCTAGTTTCCACACGGTCAGACATACCAACTAATTATTAAAAGCGAAAAATGTTGAAATTATGAGCCATATTGCATACAGTCCTGACCTGGCACTTTGTGACTTTTTTCTCTTCTCTAATATTAAGAACCAATTACGCAGTCAACGATTTTCATCACTAGAAGAGGCTGTCGAAAAGTATAAAAAACACTTTTATGAGGTCACCACGGAGGAGTGGCACAAATGTTTTCAAAATTATTCTAATGAACAAGTGCATTTACGCAAAGGAAAAATGTTTTGAGAAATAATAAATTCATTTATGACCTTTAATAATATTTTTTTCTTATTCATTCCGGAAACTTTTAGTGCGCCCAGCGTATGAGAAAAATTGTTTTTGCTCGATGTCAAGTCGTAGCTAGTCCTGACTGTTGAATACCAGTACATCTACGGGATGAGTCTACGGATGATGAGATGAATTGCACATGCGCGAAGCAACAGATTGGCGGGGACGCCTCTCCCGTTCGTATAAGTCGAGCGCGGCGGGTTCCGCGATTCGCGCGCCGTCCGCCGACCTGAGCGGGTGTTTCTTTCCGCCCTGCAAAGTTCCGGTGCTGAGTTCGCGCGTTTCCATTAGTGAGGTAAGAAATTTTCCAGCGGCTCCTCAAGTTTTAACTTTTATTTTTGTTTTGTTTCACCGAGACACGAATGGTCTTAAATAAATTAATAAATTTTATTTTCTTTAACGGAAAGTTCGAAAATAAAATTGTGAATCTTTACCCTTTATTTATTTTTTATAATTTGTGGTGAAAAAATTGTTTTTAACTAAATTCTCGTTAAATTCTTATTTTTTTAAACAAACAGAAACTAAAATTCCTAAATGAATATTACTTTTAATAAGAACAATTAGGAAGAAAAATTCAAATTATTATTGATAAAATTAACCTTATCACAAAATAAAAATGATTACAAATATAAAATTTTAGGAAATATTTGTTCTTTAAAAATTATTTAACCGCTTTCTCTAATTTCATTCCGTTTTTATTAAAGTTTACAATTTTAACGGTTGAGACTGAGGCTATTAGATGAGATTGAGACTGAGGCTAGTTGAGATTGAGACTGAGGCTATTATGAGTTTTTATTTTAAAGTTATTTTTTTACATTATATAAGAATTGTTTTATATATTGGTGATAAGAAAGACTTGCAAAAATAAGAAAACACTACCACTAACACTAGAACAAAAGTTCATTTCACTTCATTCATTAATTATTTTTAAAGATCAATAAATTATAAGTAGCATTTATTATATACCTGTTTTTTCTATAAAAGGTTAAGAGAAGAATACGAAATAAATTGTCTTAATCTAAATTTTAACGGTACATTATCTAAAATTTAAAATAAATCTGTAGAATGTAAAAGAATATGAGCTTAATCTTCAATGATTATTAACAAAAAATGGAACCTCCATGGTCTTCACCTATAAAATGTGCACTAAGTCCACTGGACTTAGTGCACATTATGTACCTGCATTCAGCGTCAAATATTACAAAAATCTAAATATTCTATTATTATATTCGTTCAAAAAGGCAGCAGTGACGGAGAATGAACAGCTCGCGCGTTTAAATCACTGGTTCAATAAATTTCTCGTATCATGTGCGCTCGTATCGTTAGTTTACCTATTAATAAAATCATATTTACGTATTAATAAAATCACAAAATATGTACCTCAAAATGAGTATAAAAGTGACTTGAAAGTAATTTTAGGTAACTTTTTCTAATTACTTAACTGTAAGAAACAAATTTAAGCCAGCCTTTTTATGTAAGCAGTTTGCGACATTCCACAATAAATATTTTATCCATAATTTTAAGTATATGGTAATTGAACGATATAAACTGAATACTTTCAAACATATTTAATTGTATTGAGTTAATACCATTTAAAAACTGTCACTATCTCCGAAGGAAACATTTTTTTCACTCCAAAGGAAAATAAAACTTTGTAGTATGGTTACTATTAAAATTTAACTTAAATATTCATTGTTCCCCGAAACCTACAGTGGTGTAGTATTCTGGTTTACTTAGGTTCATTTACTGATAACTTAAAAATAACTCAATTTTGAAAGTAATCAATTAAATCCGGCGTTTCTTTTACATTTCGTGTGTACTGTATCTTTGTCTCGAGAATGTAACTCAAAAACGACACGTAAAGCCAAACAGTGTAAAACCTGTACTAAAAAAATATGGAAGGTCCCATTTTGGTGCATCAGTCTCCCACAATATGAAAATTAATTTGTACATCCACCTTTTGAAATGCTATTGTGATACATACTGTGGTGAGAAAATAAAGAATTATTATTATTATTATTTTACATATATAAATTACTAATCCTTATCCCACAACTTCATAAAAAATCATCTGAATAGGACATGAGAAAAATTCATGCAGCCTTTTCGTGCAACTACTTCGCTGATGTTACAATATGACTTTGTTATAGAGATACATCTCTACATATGTATATTATATAAATGAACGGAAAGGACGCATCTCATCGTGGTTGTTTTATTCGACACGTGTCACGCAAATACATTGCGGTGTGACAAAGGTCTTAATTGTTTCGTCGGCTCAGGTTACTTACTTTACTCTTCTGTACTTTCCTCGTCTATCTCTCTTTGTTAGCACATTGAAATAAATAATAACTCGGCCGAATATCTAAATTTTCGCTCGAATTTAATTGTCGTATTTTATCGTCCTGAGTATAGAATATATGTTAAACTGAGTCAGCTTATATATATATATATATATATATATTAGATTTTGCAAATTTAGTTCTGTAAAACATTAAATATTTAACTTAAGGTATTAATACGACTGACTAATTGTTATCTAAGTGATTCTAATATAATAGGTTGGGGAAAAAGTTTCTTCGCATTTTACATGAAAATTCACATTTAACTAAAGTTTGTAGCTGCCATTTTGTTCGATAACTTTCTGCCATCTTGTAGGTAGGGACATGAACCCATTGCTATAGAAATTCTGGGTTTTCTGATCAAAAAACCGTGACAATTGATTTTAGCAGTCCTCTCATGATGTTAACCTGACACTGCCCAAAGAATTCTGAAGAGACTGAAACAAGTAGAAATCTGAAGGTGCAAGGTTAGGACTATATGGCGGATGCATTAACACCTCCCAGTCAAACTCTCTACATTTTTGCTGAGTGGCTAAAGATGTATGAGGTCTAGCGTTATCATGATGAAAAACCACACCCCTTCTGTTGATTAATTTCGGCCGTTTTCTCTCAACTGCTTGCTCTTTATTCTCATTAGTTGTTCGCAGTAGAGTTTAGAATCAATGGTCCTGTCTGGCGGTAACAGCTCGTAATGAATAATGCCCTTCAAATCCCAGAGTTTTGCCAGAGTCTGTGAAGCCTGACCAGCCTTTGACCACGACTTTTCTCGCACGTTCTTGTCGTACATGATCCACTTTTCATCACCAGTTATCAGGTATTTCAAAAATGGTTCGGATTCAATACGGCGTGATAAAGAATCACAAATGAGTACACGGATCATTAGGTTTCTTTCAGTGAGCGCATGAGGCACACAAATATCGAGCTTTTTTTGTGTACCCAGCTTTTTTCAAACTGTTTTGTTGTCGATTCCCAGTTCTTCAGCTACATCGTAACTACTGATATGCCGATCTTGCCCCACTTTTTCAAAAATGGCATCCATTTTATCCGTAACAGGGCGCCCAGAGCGAGGTGCATATTTAACATCAATATTTCGGGATTAAAAACGCTTAAACCAAATATGTGCTACTCTCACAGACACTACACTAGGTCCATAAATATCACAATTTTTTTTCGAGGCTTGCGTTGCATTTCTACCTTTTTTGTAGTAGATTTTAAAATGTATCGAATTTCTTCATTAGAATCACTCATCTTAACAGTAAGAAAACAAACGAAAATCACAAATTTTCCTTATTTGAATTTCGAAATATCTTTTTTAAAATTTAAACTTTTTAATAATACCAAAACCAGCCGGATACAAATGGTATAGCCAAAGAGATTATATTATAAGCACATACATACTATTTGCAAAAAGACTTTTTCCCCAACCTAATATATCAATTAATAATACCTAATATAATATTAATAGTATTCCCAAACCACGCTTTAAGTCCCAATTCGCTGGGCGTTGTTCAGCTTATTTACATACACATGCTTATAATCTATATATATACAGGGAGGCTTTTCTAAATGTATTCATTTTTTTATTAAATTCTAGACATAAATAATGTTATATAAAAATGATAAATATAAAAAATCACTAGTAATTAATTTATTACATTCATTTGAACTTATCTCAAAAATATGTGATTTATGGGCAACTCATTTATTTTACGCGCGATCATACATAACTAACACGCACATAAGTCACATTTATGAATGTTTACCGCATTGTCAACACTTTCTGTTTTTTAGGGGAACAGAATTGCATTTTTTTTTAAAGAAATCGGCTACAGCCCGCAAATGCCGAAGACGTGGGCTCGATTCCCACAGCGGCGACAATCTTTTCGTCAAATAATTTTTATGGCAAAACAACGTTTGCCGAGACAGCTAGTACTATAATAAAACTAAGCATCGTCGAGGAAGTACACTGTATATGAATTTATTTAATTTAGTGAGGATTAATTGGAGGTGTAATCCGTTTATCAAACACTATGGGGAATGTTCCCCAGCTCGGCAGGCGCATTGCTTAACTATTAGATTCGGCATCGTAGGTTTAATTCCCACACGGACAGAATAATTACCATGGATATTGTATTTTTAGTTTCACGCTCACAAAGTGTCAAAAAGTCTTGTGTTTTATATGTATAATTTGTGTAAAACTCCTTAAAACGTAAGATATTGTACGACTTATTTAATAGCATTGCATTTTTTTTACTTTTCGGTCGGTGTTCAAGTCGTATATATATATATATATATACAAGAATTGCTCGTTTAAAGGATAAGATAAGGTGGAAAGGAAATTAGTAATATACTGGTAAACACGGCTTTGTAACATGAAATTTGTAATTATATTGATTTGTTTTGAGGCATTTTCATTAAAAATGAACATATTTTTTGTTCCAATCACATTCTTCATCACGTTTTTTCGTGACAGCTATTTATTCTTTTCTGATCCATTTAATTATAAGTTCACAGTGAGACAGGTGTTCAAACTAGTGACAGGCATATTTAAAGAATGCATGAATTTTGCAAGAATGGCCAGGGTCATCATACGAGATATAAGATACACTTCATCTGCTAAATAGCGGCAGCGTTGGAAAATTCTATCCATGATCTCGTTTGGGCCCAAATATTACAAGTTAGCCTTTTCGCCGTACACTAGGTATATAGTATAGTATAGTAATATGCAATATATAGTATAGTAATATGCATGTGTCAGTGAATTTTGCTCTAACATTGCAAATATTGTAAAATAACAATTAACGTGCATAATTACAACTAAATCCCAATTTTACCATTACATTTATGTGATAATTAACTAATTTGCATATGTAATCTCAATATTCTAATATTTCAATCTGTATATTTTAAGGAAATATATCATATATATACATACCAAAAATTACTAAAGTAA